CGAGACTTTCCACGCGGGGAAGGCGGCACAGATCGTGGGAAACACTATGAAGGAGTCCTCTGATCGGCATCAGCAGCAAGAGAAAGTCACTGATGCTGGATCCTTCTCCATCTCGACCATGTGGGCCATGGGGAAGCAGAGTTCCTTGCATTGGCTCGCCGCAAATGTCACCTTCCGCTTCAAAGAGCACGAATCGCCTCCGTACATCGAGATCGATGGCCTGGACACCAGGTACCGCATTTTGCCCGATGCCGTGGTGGCGATGCAGAGGATCGACGGCATGCCCACCATCCTCATCACGGGGTGGCAGGCCTATCGTGACAACAAGGGCCGCTTCGGCTCCAGTCACTACTCCAAGGACGAGGCCCTCTGGATCCGCACAGAGAGGAATCCGGTGGTGGGAGTGACCACAGAGAACGTCTTCTCTGAACTCCTGCCCTTTGGCCGTGATGCCGGGCACAAGGTCTATGAGCACAAGGAAGGAAGCAAGATCATCCGCTACTTCATGAACAGCTGGGGCACACAGAAGATTGCGGAAGAAGCTGCTTGGCCGGTACAGGGACGGATCCTCTTCTTGTACTTTGGGGTTTTGGGGCGGGGTTTCAATGCAGGGTGCCGGCCAACCAAGGACGAGGTGGAGTTTCATTCGACGAAGTCCCATGACATCATGGAGTTGCACGTGCCCGGAGAAGACCCGAAGCAAATGGCGCAGCCGGATCGCGATCTCATGATGTTGGTGGACGGCATGCTGGGGGAGATGTCCTGTTCCTGGGTCAGGTCCAGAAGCAGTGTTTCAGCCTTCACGGACATAGTACACTAGCTTTAATACACAGAGCTCTTTCTGTTGGGTGTTGTCGGGCACGATGAAGGTATGGGCAAGCCAAGTACCTGTGCTTTCCGGTGCTTCTACGACTCGGAGAACGATGTCTGTGGCCCCTCCCACTTCTGCGAGAAGGTGGGCTCCAGCCCTGCGGACAACCTGGCACCCTTCGGCAGTGAACAGAAGTGCAAGGCCGTGGGCGGCCCAACTCACGAGGCTGCGGATGGCAAGATCACCCGGAAGCTTGAGGAAATCAAGCGAGACGTGTTGGACCTTACAGAGAAGTTGGAGCGGAGCCCAGCGATTTCGAAGAGTGACTCTGGTCGATCTTCCTTGAAGGAGACTTCGGCGCTGGTGCAGGAGGCCAACCAGATGCTCAACATCATGGAGACCTTCCCGATGCGCCTCGTCCCCGAAGCCGGCGACTTCCTCGAAGCTGCGAAGCGTGCGTCACAGACTGACATGAAGCACTGGCGACGTGGCCGGGACCGGTTGACCATCCAGCAGTACCGGGAGGCAGGAAGCAAAAGCATCTCGGCGGTGCGCAGCGAGAAGAGCTACTCCGTGCCGGTGAAGTTGCACAATACCTTGGTGGACTTCATGAAGAAGCGACCTCACCTGCTCATCAGGTTCCTCAAGCACGAGACCAACGACAAGTGCGTGCTCAGTGACAAGACGGACTTGGACCGAGAACGCCTGGGCACCTTTCTGAATTACTACATGTCCGTCCCTGGATACAGCACCAATGACTTGAAGGACGTGACCTTGGATCTCCCAGCACACTGCCAAGACTATCTCGTGAGTGAAGAAGCCGCGGATCCCGAGTCAATCGTCCAGACCGCCGAAGATGCGCAGAAGATCTTGTCCAACTCGACGAGCTCCGGCAGCGAAGGTGGCTTGCTGCAGGTGAAGTCTGAGCGCTTGGCTCGTGCTTTAGGCCCGGATGGCACCAGCTTCCTGCAGAGTGGGACATCCTCGGACTTTGCAGCCGACGAATCTGACAGAGCGCAGGAAGTGTTATTCATCATCGCGTGCATTATCGTTTGCCTCGCTTGCTTCGTCGGCGCAACCATGTTCTTCCTGCTGGGCTTTAGTTCTTTGGCGGGGTGTTTTGGAGATCGTGGCGGTGGTGGTGGATGCTTCGCAGCCTACTTCGTCTGCATGATCCTTGGCGCCTTGATCATCTGGGGTGCCTTTGCCATGGCCACACCCGTGGGCATCGCTGCGCTCGTTGCCTCAATCGTCGTCCTCATCGGCTCGGCAATCTATGGGGTAGCGAATCTGGAGATCCGGGAGCACGACTTCGCCAAGCCGCCCCCACCGAACTGGAAGGCCATCTCTCATCTCGCCATGTGAGAGCGCTTCAGCAGAAGACCTGCCCTCAACAAGCTGTAGGAACGCAGTGCCAGTTCTGGCCGTAGGCCCGTACCTTCTTGGCACAGCACCCGCGGCGCGTTTGAACAAGTCTGCAGCAAGTTGGAATGCCTGGAGTTCTACCGATGCTACAGCCGTAAGACCCCAAAGAACCCAGAAGCATCCTAAGACCCTCGAGAACTACAAGGCTGAAACAAACCTGCAAGTCAAGTCCTGCCCCTACAACAACTCTAAACCCTAAGGGCCCTAAAACCATACTGCAAGAGTTTTCTTCCCCACAGCTCCCGCATCCTAATGTCGAGCTCGAAGGCAACGCAGGCAGGGACCTCATGGCCTCCACAACATTGGACTCAACGTGTCGGGAAGCCTAGCACAGATCCTTGCAGAAGAACGTGATCAGGTAGGTTCTGCAGGGTTCTTAATTTACCCAGGAGTTCCGAGCATTGCGCCTGGGGTGCAGAGCAGCGGCTCGATGCTCCTGTTTGTTGAAGACTGGATCACCAGCCCAAATAAATTAAGCCTCGTAACTGGAAGGAAGCGGTTGAAAGTAGTTGAAAGTGGGAGTAATTGAAAGAGTAGTACAAGCGATGAGTAACAGCAGCTAGGAATGAGTTCGAGTTCTGCTTTATGCATGTTAAAAAGCAGCTTCTGTTACGCCGTCGTCGAAGGTGACGGTAAAGATACTAACCACAACCACGCAGTTCGACAGTGCCGCTTCTGTCTGCGATGTTGTACCACGACGGAAGGTTCCCGCACTGCCGGCACCATTGCGAATACACATGCTGCTGCTACCAGTGCTACTTGCTAGCTGCTGCCATCACCACGAGTCACCCAACGACATCCTCATTACCACTACCTGGCCATCACCATGTTCATGACCATCATCATGGTCTTCTTCTTCTTCGCAGCAGCATCAGCGGCCATCACATCATAGTCGATATCACCATCCTCACCATCCTCCTCCGGATCATCATCCGTTGTCATGATTACTACGATGATGGCATGATCTTCAGCAGGTCGACACACAGTGAACGTACATCGTCTGCTCGCGGAGCACGATTCCAGGCGAGCTCTTAGACTTGAAGGCTTTGCCCCTCCAGAGTATGGTGCTTAGGTTGAAGGCCCCAAGTTGAAGGCTGCAGGCTGTACCTGGGCTAGCTTCTATCATAAGCAACCTGGCATCCAATAGAATTGGACCTACGAGATCTAGGTCCAGGCAGTGCACAACACTCGGGTTTGTTCAGCCTTGTGGTCGCCATTTTTAACCCTTCGAGTAGATGGGGATTTTGTCCGTGGTGTCCTGGTGATGTCGTGTCCTGCTGGTCTCACTTGGTGATTTTTGTTGGCGGCTTCCCGGTGCTATTCTGGGATGGTCCCCTGCAGGTCTCTTGGTGGTCTCCAGCTCATTTTTGGGTGTTGTCCCGGTGGTCGTGCTGGTCGCGGTCGTCCTAGCGGTTCTAGCTTCATGGTGGTCCTCGTGGTCCTCGGGTCCTCGGGTCCTCGTGGTCTTGGTCGTGTTTGTCGTCGTGGTCGTGGTCGTGGTCGTCGTGATCGTCATGGTCGTCGTGGTCCTATCACTGCTGGGGGATTTACGCTGGCATAATGGCATAATTAGCGCTACGAGCGCGCTTGTTGCCTGCGGCGTCGTTGTCGCTGTTGGTGACTGGCAATGTCGGTCAACAGAAATGGTGTCATTGTCGTCACTGTGGCACAGAGGATATCCGACGTGCATTGGTAGTAAAGAAGTGGACGTGGTGGTTGAAGCAGTGAATAACTCTCGCAAACGATTCGGAAGGACCTGATAATGGTCCCTCTCTATAGTTACTATAGTTGAACCGTGATGCGTCCCAAACCCTGTTTTGAGACTGTGAAGGCCTCTAAATGAAAGCCATGAATCCTAGAACCTTCATCGTCCTCCTCCTAAGACCTGAAGACCCGAAACCAGCAGACCGAAAGCTCTAAGCCCTAAAACTCGGAAGCGCTAAAGTCTACGGCCCTATCCCTAAACCATGAAAGCCAAGCCTTCCAGTCTCGAGGG